TTACAATTAAAGTGTTCTTGTTCTTAAAAGCGTAACGGTTGCATGAGAGAATGGTTCTATCTTTGTTACAGTTCCTATTACAAAACCCAGCTATTTCTTCCTTAAATAGCTGTAACTAGTTTGCCACAGCCTATTTCACTGTGCAAACTTCAGGCAAGCTGCCTATTCCTAACAGAGACTCCTAAAACTGTAATCCTGCTCTAACATCAACCAGAACTGAACTGAACCTAAAAAAAGCTTCTTACTTTCCCTCCAACAGTCTAACTCCGCCCCCCTTTAACAAACCAATCCTGGCTGTTTCTGGGCTGGCTCAGGCCTAGGCCACTCCCCCTCTCTGAACTGGAGCTTTCCCTAAACTAAGATGGCTCCTGCTGCCCTCTGCCAGGCCTTCTAAACTGAAACTACCTAGCCTGTCTCTCCTAGGCCCTGCCACCCTCGGCTGGCAAGGTAAGGGATCTTCACACCTATTATCACAGTAAACTCTGAGGAATCCTAGATAATACAGTACTGTCTGTAGGAACCTAGGCTATTGGGAAATGGAGAGGATAAAAAACCTGATTTATACAATAGCTTCCAAGGCAGTGACTGGGTCACTAATAATGGAAAGTTTTCCAACAAACTGAGTTTTAAAGCACCTACCATGTGGATGTGTTTCTTCCACAGAGTAACTTTATCATATTTCCAATTGTGTTGGGCTATTTTTTTTTTTTTGGCTACATTCCTAATTGACAACGCTGATTCAGCTGCTATAGGTAGTGACAACTCTAGACTTTTCCTAATCCCATACACCGGGCAGTGGCACAGCTAGTTAGGTGCCAGCTGCATTAAATCACTACTAACCAACAGGTCATGAGTTCGAAGTCAGCTCGCGTTGGAGTAAGCTCCCGACCATTAATAGTCTAGCTTGCTGTTGACCCAAAACAAAGTTGCATCTGTCAAGTAGGAAATTTAGGTACTGCTTTATGCGGGGAGGCTACTTTAACTAATTTACGATGCCATAAAACCTTTCCGCAGTGTGCAGAAGAATGAGGAAGTACTCTATCAAAGGACCCGGTGTCACAAGCTCCCCCTGTGCCCAGAACTGAGCAAACCCTCATAAAGCCGGAAAAAGCTGGAATGATAATTTGCTTCTGTGTCTGTCTATACATATTGTTTGTCTAAATGCCATTGAATGTTTGCCATGTATATGTGCATTGTAATCTGCCCTGAGTCCCCTGTGGAGTGCAAAGGGCAGAATATAAATACTGCAAATAAATAAACAAAGGGCTAACTTGCTAATAGACAAAAAAAGCAGCCCACAACTCCACCATGATCATACACATCACCAAAATATTGCCACCATGGGCTATGTCATGACACTTACAGACCATATGGCATTAATGACACTAATGCTCTCCTTGGCAAGACTTAACATCTGATCATTACAACTTTGGTTTCTTTGGCATGTCCACATACACGCTTTGGAGACCAAGAGGTGACTCATACTACTAGGTCAGTAGTAGTATGACTACTGTCTCCATTTTCATTAGCATCTACCACATGTACAATGGAGGACCTTCTTACAGCGACGTCAGAGGCACTTGGAAGTGGTCAAAGGAAATTTAGGATACTGCCAAGTTTTTATGTATTGTCGAAGGCTTTCATGGCCGGAATCAGTGTGTTGTTGTAGGTTTTGGGGCTATATGGCCATGTTCTAGAAGCATTCTCTCTTGACATTTCATCTGCATCTATGGCAGGCATCCTCAGAGGTTGTGAGGTCTGTTGGAAACTAGGCAAGTGAGGTTTATATGTCAGTGGAATTTCCAGGTTGGGAGAAAGAACTCTTGTCTGCTTGAGGTAGCTGTGAATGCTTCACCTGGCTATCTTGACTAGCAATTAATGTCCTTGCAGCTTCAAAACCTGGCTGCTTCCTGCCTGAAGCCATTCAATTGCAATTGCAACACTGGGAGAAAGAACTCTTGTCTGCTTGAGGCAGCTGTGAATGTTTTATCTGGCCACCTCGTCCATGCAGCTTCAAAGCCTGGCTGCTTCCTGCCTGGGGCCATTCAATTCTAATTGCAACACTGGGAGAAAGAACTCTTGTCTGCTTGAGGCAGTTGTGAATGTTTCAACTGGCCACCTTGACTAGCAATGAACGTCCTTACAGCTTCAAAGCCTGGCTGCTTCCTGCCTGGGGCCATTCAATTCTAATTGCAAGAGTGGGAGAAAGAACTCTTGTCTGCTTGAGGCAGCTGTGAATGTTTCAACTGGCCACCTTGTCCATGCAGCTTCAAAGCCTGGCTGCTTCCTGCCTGGGGCCATTCAATTGCAACATTGGGAGAAAGGACTCTTGTCTGCTTGAGGCAGCTGTGAATGTTTCAACTGGCCACCTTGCCTAGCAATGAATGGCCTTGCAGCTTCAGAGCCTGGCTGCTTCCTGCCTGGGGCCATTCAATTCTAATTGCAAGAATGGGAGAAAGAACTCTTGTCTGAGGCAGCTGTGAATGTTTCAACTGGCCACCCTGTCCATGCAGCTTCAAAACCTGGCTGTTTCCTGCCTGGGGCCATTCAATTGCAACATTGGGAGAAAGGACTCTTGTCTGCTTGAGGCAGCTGTGAATGCTTCAACTGGCCACCTTGCCTAACAATGAATGGCCTTGCAGCTTCAAAGCCTGGCCGCTTCCTGCCTGGAGCCATTCAATTCTAATTGCAAGAATGGGAGAAAGAACTCTTGTCTGTTTGAGGCAGCTGTGAATGTTTCAACTGGCCACCCTGTCCATGCAGCTTCAAAGCCTGGCTGCTTCCTGCCTGTGGCCATTCAATTGCAATTGCAACATTGGGAGAAAGAACTCTTTTCTGCTTGAGGCAGCTGTGAATGCTTCAACTGGCCACCTTGACCAGCAATGAATGGCCTTGCAGCTTCAAAGCCTGGCCGCTTCCTGCCTTGGGCCATTCTATTGCAAGATTGGGAGAAAGTACTCTTGTCTGCTTGAGGCAGCTGTGAATGCTTCAACTGGCCACCTTGACTAGCAATGAATGGCCTTGCAGCTTCAATGCCTGGCTGCTTCTTGCCTGGGGCCATTCAATGCTAATCAAGGTGGCCAACTACAACAGTCATGCTTCTAGAACATAGCCATATAGCCCGAAAAACCTACAACAACCCAAGTTTTTAACTTTGCGGATTTTTAAAAACGCATTATAACCGTATTCTCAATTTGCTTTCTGACGGGATAAATATATAAATAACAGATTGCACCTCTTTCATAATATTAATCATGGCTACACCTCTTAGCAAAGCAGGGCTAGCCTTGATTAGTACTAAGACCAGCTGGCTGGGATTTCTGGGAATGAGAGTCCAAAACAGCTGGAGGGCCTCCCTGCCTCGCGCCCCCTGGCTCCCGCGCATGCGCAGCACACCGACTCACCCAGGTAGCTGTGCATCCTCCGCCCGGTGCCAGGCTTGAGGCTGGGGTAAGGCCGCGGCACGCCCTCGAAGTCCAGCCAGACGGGGCTCACCACCCGCGGAGTCCTGTTACAGAAAATGACCTGGCAGGGCTCCCGGCTATTCAGGGAGCGCAGCCGCCGCTGTTCCTCCTCCTCTTCTCCGGGCCTTTGCGGCATCTTTCCTGCCTGCCTTCCTCCGAACTACGAGGACAGACCCTCAGAAGCGGCCATCGCTCTGTGGGAGGACGCGGAGTTTTGAAGGGGCGCGCGGCTTGGCGCATGCGCACCCCAGGCAGCCATTGTTTAGCTGGGCTGCTCGGCCTCTTCCGTGGGCGGGGCCGCTTTTCGGCGCCTGCGCAGTTCGAGCTCTGTGCGGAAGAGGAGGGAGGGTGTTTGGGTTGTATACATATACACCAGGCCTGGGCCAAGTTGGGGCCCTTTAAGTGTTTTGGGCTGCAACTCCCACCATTTCTAACAGCCTCAGGCGCCTTCCTTTTCCCCCTCAGCCGCTTAAGTGGGAGTTGAAGCCCAAAACACTTAAAGGGCCCCAACTTGGCCCAGGCCTGGTGTAGATGCACTCTTGCCTGACTTTCTTAGCTATTTTCATTTGTGGCAGATTGTGGAATATATCTGTGGAATGACCAGGGTGGGACAAAGAACTCTTGTCTGTTGGAGCTAGGTGTGAATGTTTCAACTCACCACCTTGATTAGCATTTGATGGCCTGGCAGTGTCTGGGGCAATCTTTTGTTGTGAGGTGATTAGATGTCCTTGTTTGTTTCCTCTCTGTTGTTTTGCTGTTGTAATTTTAGAGTTTTTTAAATACTGGTAGTCAGATTTTGTTCAGCAGTGGAACTCTCAGAGACGTTCAGCAGTGGAACTTTTTGCCCAGGAGTGTGGTGGAGGCTCCTTCTTTGGAAGCTTTTAAACAGAGGCTGGATGGCCATCTGTCAGGGGTGATTTGAATGCAATATTCCTGCTTCTTGGCAGGGGGTTGGACTGGATGGCCCATGAGGTCTCTTCCAACTCTTTGATTCTATGATTCTATTTTCATGGTTTCCTCCTTTCTGTTGAAAGGCTACCAGTATTAAAAAAAACTCTAAAATTACAACAGCAAAACAACAGAGGGAAAACAATCTAGACTAGGACGCGAAACAATGGCTTCAAACTACAAGAAATGAGATTCCATCTGAACATGAGGAAGAACTTCCTGACTGAGCCGTTCAGCAGTGGAACTCTCTGCCCCAGAGTGTGGAGGAGGCTCCTTCTTTGGAAGCTTTTAAACAGAGGCTGGATGGCCAACTGTCAGGGGTGATTTGAATGCAATATTCCTGCTTCTTGGCAGGGGGTTGGACTGGATGGCCCATGAGGTCTCTTCCGACTCTTGGATTCTATGATTCTATTCTATGATTCTATGATCTAATCACCTCTCAACAAAAAGATTGCCCCCGGCACTGCCAGGCCATCAAATGCTAATCAAGGTGGTCAGTTGAAACAGTCACACTTAGCTCCAGCAGACAAGAGTTCTTTGTCCCACCCAGGTCATTCCATATATATATAAACCCATTTTCCTAGTTCCCACAGATCTCACAACTTCTGAGGGTGCTTGCCATAGATGCAGGCGAAACGTCAGGAGAGAATGCCTCTAGGTCTAGAATATGGCCATATAGCCCGAAAAAACCTACAACCCAGTGATTCCGGCCATGAAAGCCTTCGACAATACAAGGAAAATGATATTAGAATCAGGCCTACTTTTGTCTCAAATGTTGCTTTTGTTGTCAAGATATAATCTGGAGAGACATCAGTTAAGACAGGGCTATTCCTGTCTGCACTTATTTTAGTTGCTTTGGGTCTATTTTTAAAGAGATAATAATATTTCCTCTTCTCAGCTAGGTAGGACCAGGAAACAAAGGACAATAAAATTACAAATCCATTGACAGTAGAACAGTAAACTTTGAAGCAAAGCAACTAAGTGCTTCTACACTGTAGAATGAATGCAGTTTTACCTCACTTTAACTACCACAGTTCAATGCTATGAAGTTCTGGGGAATTGTAAGTTTGGAGAAGCACCAGCAGTCTTTGGCTGAGAAGGCTGAAGACTTTGTAAAACTGAAAAGACAGGCATTTTGCATGGCATTTGGGGGGAGGGGGAATCACTATCGCTGCATTTAACCAACATTCACATATACCTGATCGTTCTGCTCTGTCCTAAATTAAAGTTTTTATTTGTGACCACAGTGATAAAACTATCTTCTTAATACTTAGAGTCATTTTTTTCTATTTTTAATCAGAATAAAGAAAATGGTTTTTTCCTATTATTGTATTGTGTTTTTAATACCAAATGCACCAGAGTTAGATTCCAGTTTAGCTCAGTTATATACATGGAATTTAAGGACAGGGCTAGCAATAGCTACGATTGGCTTGTTGATTTCTCTGATTTCACATTTTCAAAAAATGCCACAGAATCATAACAGTTGGAAGAGATCCAGTCCAACTCCCTGCCAAGAAGCAAGAAAATTGCATTCAAAGCACCCCCGACAGATGGCCATCCAGCCTGTTCCACTGTTGAACAGCTCGCAGTCTGGAAGTTCTTCTAATGTTCAGGTGGAATCTCCTTTCCTGCAATTTGAAGCCGTTGTTCCATGTCCTAGTCTCCAGGGCAGCAGAAAACAAACTTGCTCCCTCTTACCTATGACTTCCCCTCACATATTTATATATGGCCCTCATCATGTCTCCTCTTAGTCTTCTCTTCTGCAGTCTAAACATGACCAGCTCTTTAAGCCGCTCCTCATAGGGCTTGTTCTCCAGACCCTTGATCATTTTAATCACCTTCCTTGGGACACTTTCCAGTTTCTCAACATCTCCCTTCAATTGCGGTGCCCAGAATTGCACACAGTATTCCAGGTGTGGTCTGACCAAGGCAGAACAGAGGGGCAGCATGACTTCCCTGGATCTAGACACTTTAGGCAAGCCAAATCCCATTGGCTTTTTAAGCCGCCACATCAAATTGTTGGCTCATGTTTAACTTGTTGACCATGAGGAGTCCAAGATCTTCATCAAATAGGATGAAATATATTCTTTCAAACATTTATCGTATTATGATCTCTATGAATAAACACCACAACAACAGAAAGATCATCATGGTATTAACGTTTATTACATACAGGTAAAAATTAAATTCAATACAACATACTACTGTGAAAAATGAAAACAATCCCCAATAGCAACAGACTATAACCTGGGAAGGCAAAAGTGCTTTAAAGACAATGTTTTTACAGTTAACTGGAACAGTGCTGGTGCTTTATTTCTTATAAAAAAAACTCAGCTTCTCAAAGCCACACATCCCTCCCTACCTTCCTTTAATTAAAATGTTTGAATGTGTATCTCTATGTTTTTTCTAGACCAATGGACAGTGATTCCAATCCAAGTATTATTGAATAAATTAGGTTTCCTTTTACTATTTTGTTTCAAATTGCTACAGAAAAGGCTCTCACATTTTCAATATTCACATAAACAATGGACACAATATACTAAAAACCATCTTTCAAATATAGTTGTGACCTTGGATATTTGCTCAAAAGAGGTTACTGTTTTGCAGCTGTTGTCTGCTCTTTATTAGGAAGTGGCATTATTATTTGTTTGTCACTGTTAAGATTAAGTTCAGTCTGAATCAATCATGTGTCCAAAGGAAAAGTGTATGTGAAAGTAGCTACAACATTTTTCAAGTCTCATTTTGAATTATAACCATGACTTTAGAAACTACAAAGGCTGTTGGTACATATTTTCAGCAGTATCACAAACCATATCAAAGTAAATGAAGGAACTGAGGTAGCAGGTGAGAAACCAGGAAGCACTAAAGAGTTTTGGCTGTAATCCAGAGTCCACCTATTTATCAAATTATGAACAGTTGCAAAACTTTCTAGTATCCCTCTTGCCCATTTTTCTATGGCAAAAACAAAATTAAGTGGAGAAGTTTCTCCAATGGCAGAATCTTATTAAAATAACATTGTCTACCTAAAAGATATTCTAAGCTGATTAACACTCAAGGAAAAACCTGTCTTCAGGATTCTAAAACAGTATTTTAAATGTGCCAATCTGAGGTTATTGTTATACCATACTAGCCTTTCCACAAAAGCAGGTAACTTGCCCAGTGAAAATGAAAACTATATTAGCACCCAAATTAAAACATTTAGTCAGATTCACAGGCACACAGAAAAAATTGTAGTTTTATGAATTAATTGGGTATATTTTTCTACTTGAGCACAGAACACTCCTTCAGGAGGTTCTAGCTGAATATGACACAAATGATCCTGATCATAAAGCTTGGCTACTTGTTCATATTTTCATCCTGACTCAATATAGGTATAATCTGAACTGGAATCTCAATCAGACATTTTACACATGGCTTTCAAAAATGCAAGTGTTTTCAGGTATACTGGCCAAGACTTTACCAGCGTGATCGTAAATCCTCGTTTTTCTCTCCAGTGCGTTTCAGGAGGTAAACAGCAGCATGAAGTCCCCCCACATTTACCCAGATGGTGTGGGACTTCCGCCACAGATGCCCCATTTTTGACAAGGCCTGAAATGCAAAACATTTCTCTTGACAGATCTGGCAGAAATTATTACAGATAGGTATTCATTTTCAACTGGCAAATTAAATGTGTCCAAATCTTAATTTTATTATATTTCCGTCCTGGGAAATTCATCTTTTTGTAAATAAATAATAATTAACTGTAACAAGAAGTGCTAAAATTACTGTATATACTCGGGTATGAGCTGATCCGAATATAAGCCGAGGCACCAAATTTTACCAAAAAGAAAAAAAAAAACCTGGGAAAACTTATTGACTTGAGTATAAGCTGAGGGTGGAAAATACAGCAGCTATTGATAAATTTCGAAATAAAAATAGATACCAATAAAAGCACATTAATTGAGGCATCAGTAGCTTAAATGTTTTTGAATATTTACATAAAACTAAGGTAAGACTGTCCAATTCTGACTAAATCATTATTCTATCCTTCTTCAATGAATATGTGCTTACATATCCTTCCAATAATAACCACAGTATATTTTAACTATACATTTTGGGGCAAATGCTGTGTGTATATGAATAAGGAAAAGTGGGAAAGACTGGCACAAGAGAGGAGGAAAGAGAGGTGGATTGCTGTGAGGAGGTGAGGGTCTTGGCGGGAAGGCGTGGGGCTGAAAGAAGGGCTTCTTTCAGCCCCATGCCTTCCCATCAGAATCCTCACCCAAGTATAAGCCGAGGGGGGAATTTTTCAGCCTAAAATAAGGGCTGAAAAACTAGGCTTATACTCGAGTATATACGTACTTCATTTTTG